CACAGGCGTCAATTGGAGTGCCCATTATTAGCGATTCCCAAAAAAATGAAAGGATTGTCACATATATTTGCGGACTTATGATGGCTGCTTACTTGTGAGTTTCAGGATATAAGTAAACACCAAAGCACTTCTTTAGCATACCTGTATCGCACAAAAGAACATGCGCATGATATGAATATCTCTGTCGCTTCGATAAGGGGATCGAGGTAGCAGCCCATCAGATATAACAGGTTTCACAATTTGATGTTTCTGGTTAACTCTGGGCATTCCGTACTCAGAAATATTTCAGGGCAGTTAATGAAGGGATCTTCGCCTTCAAGCCGGATACTCCCTCACATGTACAGAAAAGCACTAGAAAGCTGATGTCGCCAGTTGAGTTTCGTCAGTAGTGCGAATCCATTGGCTATATAGGAATCTGAATCCATGACTAAGACGGAATTGAGCTAATAGTCAGCAGACTTTGCCATTACGAAATGGGGGACGTTGTGGAGCTTTATGACTTACGAGCCAAATGTGACAGCGCAATGAACCGGGGTCTCAGTTGCAATTGCGTTTTGTCATTCGAACATATCGCGGGTAACCCAAAAACCAACAACCATAACTCAGAGCAGTGAGAAGACATATGTTGCGATATGTTAACATTTCGATTGTCCTCATCAGTCGCAAAACACAATACACGCGGGATTCATGGAGAGTTATATACAGGGGAAAAGGTTGATACACCAATCAAAATGTTAAAATCAAGACCACGGTAACTTAATTGATTGTCTCAATAGTTTCTGTGCACACAACACAGGTTGATAAGCCCTAATTAACAAGGCCTCACTGATTGCCAAGATTAGCGGATTGTTGTTACGTAACAACACCTTGAACGCAGTCTCCGGGTTCACCTGATGTCGGGTTGCCAAGAGATGCTTGGTGATAGACGATGCGGGACTCCGGTTCATCCTCGGATCCCCTCCGTTTTGTTGCGTCATCAGTTGTTCCAACCACCTCGGCACATGTTCAGCTACCCTCTGAGCTAACTGACGGTCAGTCCTGCCTATGTAAATGTCACCGCAACCGCAGGTGAACTGGTAAACGACGTGAGAGGCCGAACTGACTGATGAGTTGCTCTGACGGTCATGAAGAACAAGGCTTCGCGTTGTATGAATGAATCGCAACTGGGCTTGATTTTAACATTTTGATTGGTGTATCAACCTTTTCCCCTGTATATAACTCTCCATGAATCCCGCGTGTATTGTGTTTTGCGACTGATGAGAACAATCGAAATGTTAACATATCGCAACATATGTCTTCTCACTGCTCTGACTAAATGGCTGAAGGGGACCCACTGTTTTAACCATAACTCAGATTAATAGTTATCGATCGCGGGTTTCTGCTGATATTGAGGAATGTTACTGCTTAATTACTCCCGGCTTTTAAAAGGCAACGGATTCGTACAACCTGTACTCCATTAAGCTGATTGTTACTGGTTCGGTTCACTGTTGGATTGCATTCATTGTAGATGTAGGTGTAATTGAATTCACCCTTATTGTGTTGAGGTCGGTTCCAAGCTCTTTCCGCAGATTTCCTTCTGCACTCTAATCGTTCGTTTCGCTGCAATAGCTAATGCATGAATATTTGTACATACGATGTCACTACGAGAAGACCATGTAGTGATTCCGAGACGGATGGTGAACTCACAGTAAAAATGTTTTACGCACAGTTGGTTTAGTCACCACATCCTGTATGATGACACCGGGGTGAAGAGCGTAACAGGAGATGAACGTTTGTACCATAGGCACTCCGCATATTATATACACAACTGGAGCGGACTTCCATCGCCTCCAACCATATAGAGTGCCTACGAACACCGAATTCCTTATTTCGCTCATGCGGCCACCAGGCTATTCTTTGACAACTGTCACTTGCGGGCGCCGCGCTGAAGTTCGCTATTTAGCAGCAGTTCGTATAACTCTGTTGCTGAAAGCATGGAAGCAAACAAAAGCCGAGATGAATCGGATAGACCGTGACTAAAACCAGAAAACCAATGTTGTTTTCCAAGTTCAGGTGTACTATTTAGTTGCATCTGTCTCGCCATCATCTGAGATAGTATATTCAGAGTGGAATAGCGAAAAACTGGCTCGCAGTAACTGAGCTACGGGCGAATCCGGAGAAGGAAGCTAATGCATGCAGAACCGATCTTTATTTGCAATACAGGTATTCGTAACAGCACTCCATCGGAGGTGGCTCCGTGTTTGTCTACTGTGGGATTATCGGATAAGTCCTATCGGGCGGCATGCTACCTGCTACAATGTAGGAGAAATAATTTGATTCCCATTGGCGAATAGCTATATTGTGCTAAGGAGGTAGATAAGCAAGATATTTCGCCAGTTGTTTGGTTGTTGCCCTCCTCTATCGCAAGTTCGGGTTTCTATTTCACTCAATTCCTTCCCCGCCCTCGGTTGTTAATACATGGACTCAAAATAAATGCGTAAGTTTATCACGTTCATTGTAGAGAACCGTATTTCAGGTCCATTGCCAACCGGAGCTAGAAATGTTTTGCCTTAGTCCAATCGGAACAGAAAAAAAACAATCATAAATTTATGTACACATGAGTAGGGGATTTTGTTACAGATAATTGACGTTCGTTACAGCCAGCTTCTAAATCAGATAGTCTTACACATGCCCGAAAAAGCACTAGACTGCAGTTTCAGCCTATTGGGCATCGTCAGTAGTGCGCATCCATCGGGATTCGAACCCATGACCACCAGTGGCTTGAACCGCCAGTCAGCAGGTTATGCTATTGGGCCACGGGGGACAGCTTCGGACCGTCATGATTTACAAGCTAACTGCAGTACAGCGCGTCTTATCCTCCATTGCCATGCAAGTTACGAACGTTGCGGAGGACAGGGTTGGCCCGGAAAGACACGACGTCCACTAACTTTAGCTATGTACAATATAGCATTTAGGAACTGTCAGGGCAGGTATATTTTGATGTACTCATGAGTAAGGGATTTTTGATGTAATTAAGTGAGGTTCCTCGCAGCCAGTTTCCAAATCAGATAGTCGTCCACATGCCCGGAAAAGCACTAGACTGCAGTTTCAGCCTATTGGGCATCGTCAGTAATGTGCATCCATTGGATTCACCAGGATTCGAACCCACGACCACCAGTGGCCTGAACCGCCAATCAGCAGCTTATGCCACTGGGCCACGGAGGACAGCTTCGTAGCATCATGATTTGCAAGCTAACTGCGATATAGCGCGTCTTATCCTCCAATGCTATGAAAGGTACGAAGGTTGCAGAGGACAGGGTTGGCCCCAAAAGACACGACGTCCACTGAAAGTAGTTTTGTACGACCTGAAGTTTAGAAACTGTTGGGGCGGATATATGTTATGTATTCATGAGTAGGGGATTTTGATATAAATAACTGAGGTTCGTCACAGCCAGCTTTGCTTGTGTTTACTGGTCATTTCGAAGGCAAATGGACAAGTCAATTGCTACATTGGTTCCATGATTTGTCATTGTTTTTTCATGTGTTGTGTTTTGGGATGGCTCTGGAGTCATGTAGTAATCCGTTAGAAGTGAAAGAAGCTATTTCGGCCCGATAGGCTAGTAACACAATAAGTGTTCGGTCGCTTATGCATATTCCGTTAGGTCCATCACACAAACCAAGTGGCAGTACCTGGGTACTGCCTGTAAAATCTTTTAAATTGTCAAACATGAATTCATATTACGTTCTGTTTCTGTTCCCATCCGCCAATTGTAAAAGATCGGTTGGTTTCATGCTGCCCTGTAGGTTGCGATCAAACGTCAGGTAATTATAAGAATATGCTACTATAATGTTGTCATAACTACAGAGGAGATGCTAGGGAATGGAAACCAAAACCGAAAATTCCCGTTTTAAATAGACCGCAATAATGAGTATACACTCGAAGATAACCGTGACATCATAGGCTGCGTAAGCACAGATGCTGTGCTCCTCGAATGGCCAAATGATTAACAGGTTGAAGATATAATAATTTAACGGAGATCTTCCGAAATAAGAGCAGTTACGGTTAGCTCAATACTCTCAGCTAAGTATGAAAGATCATAACGTGTTCCTACATTGAGCGCAGAAAGCCGCACGACACCTCACCTAACATTTTATATGCGTTTCTTACCTAAAGGGCTGCTAGCTGATTCCACTTTAGCTAAGGTGTGTTTCTCACTCCTAGCTAACGCGTATTGATGATGAAGATGAGTTGATTCCTCTAGGGAATAAGTTTCATGACAGTAAAGTCGCTGAATTAGGAACTTTCAGTTAGCATGTTGTCCGCCCATATCACTGTGGCAAGATAATGAACTTTCGAGTCAGGAAAGAATATAGTTAAGGTTACGCCACAATTTTCCAGTAGCTGACTACATTTCCGTTTACATAAAAGCCAAACATCGAGATGAATAGGGTTTTATAGGTCAAAATAACCGAGATGAAGTAGCTGCGCCACCTCGTGGTGTTACGGGGTATTCTGTAATAAATTTATGCCCTTATTGTCAAAAACACAAAGGAGCGGAGTTTCCAGAATTGCTTTAATGTGATAAAGTCGAAAAAGGGACAGCAAAACAAGACAAGTTTGGACAAGTCGAAAAGTCCGCAGTAGACAAAAGAAAATTTAACATGGCAAAGAAAATCTAAGCTCGCAATTGCATGACCGATGTAAACTAGTGTCATTGAAATCAAGGATGATAAGCAAAAAATTAAAGCAAAGATGATCACAAAGTTTTCGCACAAGTTGGCAGGCGCATCGAATAGAGTAAGCAGAATCAGTGGTCATCAGGCGACACAATTTCCTAAGATCTTATCGAGGAAACTAGCCGATTGGAAAAAAGGAAGAAATATAAGATAAACGAAACGTGACGACTTTAAACGAATTTGTGATGCTGGGTGTTTACGAAATTTCATGAAATCTGGAAACGCTTCTGAACCGGTTCGTCCCGTCAACAAACATTCCGGAGCGATTGCTTTTCGTTGATGCTTCACATATAGAGAACCGCGTTTACGAACTGCGTTGGGAGAATGGGTTGAAGTTATATGATTGAAAGATTTGCATAGATGTATTGAATCAATTACAATGCACATTTAATGTTGGCTAGGACGTTGGGCATTAAAACATAAGAAAAGAGCTGATCTCGAGGGTGTTTTAACACCGCAACTTGGAGCATCACCTCTAATGCAACCATAAACATCCTTGGTAGTGCAGCTGGAGAGTATTAAGTAACGTGTTGGTGCAAAGAGCAGAACTATGTTAGCAGACGAAAGGTAACAGAAGGAAAGCCATCTCCTTTACTGATGCAACCCAAATTACGAAGCGGTAATTTGCGCCAATCAGGCATCAGTGGTATTTGAACAATTCTGGTTAATTGTACGCGTTTTCCTATATGCTTAGTGGAGTACGCAGATCAGTTAGCAACCCATGGCAGAAAATTTCCAAGCAATGAAAAAGAAAGAGCAGCACACAGTCACTAAAATACGCTTGTAAATGCAGTACCTCGTACTCATTGCCATATCTCTTCAAGAGAAGCGGACTCGTGCGCAGAGCTTGGGACCTGTGATAGAGATTGCTTAGGTTTTCTGCATAATAAACGGTGCACATGGAGTAAACCAAGGTTTGGAAGATATTAAAAGCTAATTTGATAGTCAATTTTGTGACACTGGTTCTGTGAGTGGATTGCGGCATGCCATCTCAATGTAGACCGCGATTCACAATGAAGTGAACCTTGATCAATGCTATCACTGGGACCGTAGCCGAAGCACATGGAAATTGGGTGTGCCTGCCCGAAAACACTGCACAACCAGGACAGGTTTCGATCTGGTTTGATCTCCACAGGTGGAGACAGTAGGCCTCTAAACCACGACCATTGGAAGAGTAGCCGAAACCTCTAACTCTTTGGCTACCGGGTCACGACGGGCAACGCTTGTTACATCAGTGAATGACTACTTGGTGGGTCAGTTCTGTAGTGCTTGCTATGCAAATGGATTGCAACGCGCAATCTCAATGTAGACCGGTTAAAATTCCAATGCTCGCGGTTTCGAGGTTTGCTATCTTCACCTCATGAGATCACATGAGAGTGAAAGGCGTTGTGGTGTGCCCTGTTTTCGGGCGGAAAACACATAAGTTTCATAGTGAAAGTTACTTCTGAGGTCATGTATTTAGGAATTAATGACTTCGAGGAGCAAGTTTTGGGCGAGTAATCAAAATCACTGGTTCTGCCTGAAGAATCCGAACCGCGGTAAAATTGGAATGCATCGCGCTGATGAGCAACAGCATAACACAATGCCCCAAAATAAAAGGAAACTGGAGCACGCAAACCGACCAACTATGACTTAAAAGTGAAAAAATACGAGTAGCGCCTATTTCAGTATGCATCCTAGTAGCATCGAGAGCAAATTATAACTCACATTCAAATGAAAGGCAATTTTAGTCAACGAAGCACAGCAAGAGAGAGAAGACTGAACGTATCATCGCTCAAATTCTTTTTTGGAAAGTTGCGACTTGCAAACATAAGATACTTTGGGGCAACAAGGTTGAGACATAAAGTGATCAGGCACATGTGTTAAACATGGACAGTAGGAAAAATTAAAAATAAGTGAGATCAGATGACACTTTGCCACGGTATGGGAAAACGCATATGGCAACTAAACGTTGCACACTGGCCGGTCGCAACAGTTCGCATCACGACCGGTACCGTTTGCATTCGTCAGGGGAAAATACCACAATTGCTTTAGATACAGTACCAGTGAACTGCGGTTCATATCGAAACTGCTTGTCGCGATCTAATCATACAATGAATGGGTCAACATCATCGTCTAGTGCGGTACATAATAACTCAATATTCTTAACGTCACACAACAAAAACGGTAATGAGAACGGATCAAAGCGACCGGGCGGAAATGAATCAAGCGTCCGGAAGAGTGGGAAGAAAGCGTAACAACAACAATCCAAGTTCTAGTCCACAACGTCATCATCCACAGAGAGAGCAATAGCAGTGTGTTCGTACGTCGTATTGACGCTTTTTCACCAAAACACAGGAATTCGGAAGACGTAACCCAGTGTATTAGGAAGGGGAGCTACAGCAGGGCTACACCATAGTAACTAAACGTCCATATTACAGAAGTACACGTTCCCAGATTTCTGCAAGACCATAAGAACAAAGTCATTCTGCATGAACACAGTAGCATGGGCATGACAACTTGTCTCCGGCTTCCATTGTCCTCTGCCTCTTCCTCGTGGACAACCTTCCTAACTAATTCTGAGTTCGCTTGAGTATAACGCGCTCTCCTGTACCATAAACAACATTACTCAACGAATAAATCAGTATCACACACACACACACACACACACCCACAACTATCGGCTCCCCTGTGAAACGGCAGCGAACCTCCAATGGAGCGAATTTCATACCATGGTTTACGTTACTCCCTGAAAAACACGGAGGAATACTGTGTGGCTCCCCAATTCCCAATTAATAACACATCATTTCCCATTGATTGTGCTATGGCTGGATGACGAAGCGCAAGTACGACGTGACATTGTGCACTACTTTTGATGAGCAAATTATGTCTCGTATATCTTATGAGGTTCTTCCAACTGAAACTCGCTCTAAACAGTGTTCAGCTGACTAGCTACCAAACGATATTACCTTATTCAAAGTATGCATGAGGACAGCCATTGCACAGGAAGCCAGTTTGTACATCAGTTATTTATGTACTCAATAGACAACTGTAACAGGATTCATTAGGGCTTGTCGCAACTGAATTTCGTCGTTTTCACCGTTGGTTGCCTAATTCTGTCAAGGTGGAGATGTGTATGGCGAATTCTTTTAATGCATGAATTAAAGAATAAGAATTGCATGTAGAACTAGATGAGAGCAAAGGTCCACTTAGGAACCAACCAAATCACTTGCTGGTGAATCAGCGCACTGTAGCGAGATAAAAGGCAGCTAAATAAAACCACTCACCGAGTGCTCATCAAACGATGCCTTTCCACTTGTGTTGTCCACAGTCGCTTTGAACATATCAAATAAGGTTTTCAGACGCGCACAGCATATCACATATTCGTCGAATGGAACATTGCCATCGCGATTTGAGAACCTCATCACAAGTGTGTCGAAAATGGCGTTACTGATTGAAAAACCTAGGTGGAGAGAACCAAGATCGCTCAAAATCGTGTTGAATGGAAACCTATCAAATAACCAGTAACTTGGGAAAATGAGCTGCAGCCAAGGTTACAACCCAGTGGTGAAGGAAACCCGGAAGAAGAAAAAACAGGAACCCAACAATATCTAAGAAAAGACACAAATATTATGTTAGTATTGGCTGCATAGCAACCCCCTGGTATTCTTTCAGGCACGACCATGTGATAACTGGTGTCACATGAACTAACAGCAATCGACTGTGACAAGTAAAAGCCAATGCATCTCTGAACTTTCAACAACTCCAACCAGGGAATCCACTTTGCTATCCTCAATGGAAGGTGAAGACTTATAAATGAAATATCTGCGAATTCTGTTGGTCTCAAAAGAGGTAAAAGTTTATTATCTCCAGCGATAGAGATGACTTTTCTGATAAGGTGGAAATATGGTTTTACTGCGTGGTTCAGTGGGTCATCATTATAATTATTATATACGTTAGCTAGAGGTGGAAATAACCTCAGCTTTGTGTCGCAATACATAACAAAATAAGAAGAAAAACGCAACAGTCGCACGGTAGCTGATCCATTGCTGACGGATAGCATGGTTCCGGAAAGCTACTAGCCGTCTATTGCGCCTCAAAAAGACAGTGAGTTCTCGCTTCAGCCATAGATGCCGTGCTGGAATTGTATATCCAATATGAGGACATATGTAAGAGAAAACTAGTTGGTGGATAACAGATGGTTTGAGGCGTCCAAAAGCTCTCCGTAAAAGTCTCACGATTAGGATGCCCATTTTCGATCTTTTTTTCGGACTGCTCAAGGCAGTCGAGATCTTCATGGACCAGCACTCCGAGGTACCTTTGTGAGAATAGTGTTGCGCATCCTGGTCCCCCAGATTATAAGTGTAAACCACTCGGTGTCGTAAATGGAGCACTCGACATGTAGCTACATTGAATAAAAGGTGATTTTGGACCGATCATCCATAGATCTTGTTTAGGTCAATTTGAAGCTCTGATCGCCCACCAAACTTTGATGTCATCGGCGTGGAGCAGACAGTCTTAGGTAATTTGGCTCACTAGATCGTTAATGAAGACCAAGAATTGACGGGGACCCAATACCGAACTCTGTGGCAATCCGCATTCGATGTGAATTGGGTTTGACATGGCTTCACGTGCGAGAGAAATTTTCAGCTCCACCCGAACAGTGCGTCCCCAATCTCAAATCCTTGAAGTTTGGCGAGAAAAATTCGATAGTCCAACCCGTCGAATGCGTTCGACAAGTAGGTAAGCCACATCAAGTCCTGCATCAGCATCCACCGTTTTGGTTCAGCTATCTCGTGCTAACAATAGGTTGGTGTTGCACGACCGATTCTGACGAAAGCCGAGTTGCTTCTGAGCAATGTGACTGAAACCGTTCAGGTAAGACATGGGTGCATCAAAAATGATAGCCTTCATAACTTAAAACAAATGGCAGGAATCACTGGTCGATAGTTAGCTGGGTCAGAACGACCACGCTCTTTGAGGATTGGTCTTATTATCCCGCGTACTCACATTGCATGATCGCGCTTGTCTTCAAGGAAGTGCTGGAACAGCCGTGCCAATGGTTCAGCCAAAACATTAGCCACCAAAACAAGCGTCTTTGGGCGGACATCGTCAGCTCCGAGATTGGTGTGCAGGCCCGTGTATAGAAGCTTTTTCAACACGGTGTCTAGCGTAAAACTTATTGGAGTGAGTCCTGGCGGAAGCACCATACATTTCAAAGGTTCAGGAGACCATGGGATACAATGAAACGTTGGTGCATATTGTTGTTGCAATATATTCGACGCTTCTTTGGCAGTCCGAGTTAGCCCATCCGCTGTTTGAAGAGGGGGAAGTGTACTTTTTACGTCGCGAAAGCCGTTTCCTTACTTGTACAGAAGCGTATTATTTGAAGTAAAACGCTTTGCTTAGGCCTGTCGATATGCTGATTTAGCCGCGTGTACTGGTTAGGCACAGTGGTTGCGGTGGACACCATAAGCCTTCCAGGTCCTCGGATTCAGATTCATTTTGTGGGCAAACCACGCCGCGTTACGCATCACCATGCATATGTGTGTCCTACTCCGTATAAACTACATCATATTTTTCGAACTGATAGCGCACCTGATGTGTGCAGTTTTCTTCACCTCATATAACACCTATGCCATGAACTTTCATGATATTCACGGGTGTTTAATACGGCGCGCCATTTGCTCTGAGCCGACATTGCCGACCTTTACCTCCTTATGCTGTTCTAATTGGTGCGTGCAACAACCCGTTGGCTGCTTCATCCCAACCTGTTATCGTGCACTTTCCTTAACATATCAGAGATCATTTCGATTCAAGTACCTTGACTGCAGCTAAGCGTTGAACTGAGTGAGCAAACGCATGTAATTTGGTGAGCATTCGATGAAGGACACCCTTGATGGTAATCCACCGCAAGGCATCCAACAACCTCGGAGTCACATACGGAGATAAGTGCGTGCTTCCGGTCACGTAAACACTGTTATCGCTCGGATGGATTTGTGCGCACTCCATGAGGTTTCAAAATAAAATCACCTCCAGGAAATGTGCCGCCTTCTTAGCCAACAACTTGAATGAAACGCACCTTATGACGGTGACGCATGGTGATCTCGATGTAGTTTAGAGCAGAAGACTGCTTCCCACTCCCTGCCGATGGTAAGTAACCTAGTGGTAATAAAACTACCTGCGGGGATGATGGACTAGCGCGTCCCAGTTTGTGAAGGTGGTTAAACCGATAAAGGGGCACTTTCACCTCTGGTTTAGTTGGCCACCAATGTCAAAACGTGCCTCCAGCATACCCCATTGCTCGAATATGATTCGTCTCATCAATAGTACATGTATGGGCACTTGAAAGTCAACAATCGAAATTCAGACGAACTTCATTCCATTGATTGTGCATCAAAGTGCGGGCATAGGAAACACATGGACATTTCCGTCATTATCAGTACCTTCGCAATGCCTATGATCGAAATTCTTACGCAAGTATGGAGGAAGCCGAAAGCAGGACGGTGGGCGAGAGAGTAGGCTGACCAAGGAGAGGACTGGAAGGCAAACTTATGTCTTCACGAATCATCCTGCCAGATCACCGGGGGAATTAGGATAATTCAATGCTGACACGCTGGTGAGGACGAGCCGGTTATATTTTTACATTAAGTCTACTACTTCCGAACACTGTTTTCCAGTGTGGAAGATTTAATAATTTTCCCATTAGGGTTGTCTTATCTCATTCAAAATCCATTAGAAGTACTATATCTTGATGCCAATAATCTAGGCGACGCTAGTCTCGGTATCCAGTCAGATGTAGTTCGGTATCCAGGTCAGGGGAAAAATGAAGCCAGTCATGTCGGAGAAAGTGGCAACTGTGATTCGAAAAGCTGTCGACTTGTAGTAATCTGGAGATTTCCCCTGTTTGCCTGTGTAAAATGATAAAAAAAATTATTATTTCATTATACAGTTAGACGACCGACGCCGATTGTTGAATTGGCTGTTGAGATCGATTGGTTGCGCACTGCATATTTGCGTTTCGGTTGCAACGCGCGATCGGTTCTGTGTGCTGCATTATTCCGTTCCCCTTAGCTGGCAGCGTCAACGGTGTTGTTTTTTATAACTAGGCGAACATGGAACCACTTACTGTACAAAAAAGAAGTTTTCATGAAACTCGATTTGCCTTTTTGGAACGCTATCTAGAATTCTGCTAAAAGGCAATTACTACTGATCACCAGTGTTACAACACGTAGCACCTTAAGAATGCATTGATCACTGTTCTTGAGTACCGATTGTGAACTAAGATAGTCTAATGAAACAGTTGATATCAGGTGACAGATCCGTGGAATACATAGAGGAAGAGAGGCAAAGCGATTGTTTAGTCAAAAGGAATGATAACCCACACTTCGAAGTTGGGGTCGGTTGGTGCATCCCGACTCCTCGGCTGGAAGCGGAAGAACTATGAACACGTTTGGTTGGATACACTTGCTGATATTATATCAGTGTTGTGAGTTTCTTTGTCTAGCCCACTTCCCTTTAGATTTCCCCTCAAACTTCGATCTCATTGCAAATGCGTGCTATGATATTTAACATTTTATTACTTGCTTATTGAACATTTTGTTGTCAGTAATTGTTAGTAGCTTATGTTTTTGCATTGAGGGACATTAGTTGTGGTGTGTTCCTCACCCTCGGCTAACGTGTGTTGATGATGATAATGACTTACAGTGACCTCAAACGCCATGCACTATATCTACATTAAGGGTCTGACCGTTTCGGTCCGCCATCGCAGACTAGTCCCTGACAAACTCAAATCCCCTAAGGCGGAATCCGAGTACATGTTCGAAATGGGAATAGTCCACCAGTCTAGGAGTCCATGGACGTTACTATTGCTCATGGTACCGAAGAAATCAAGTGATAGGCGTCCCTTCGGAGACTACAGGGCACAAGAAACTTACCGTTCCGGATAAGTACCCATTCCCATATATACATAACTTGGCCTCATATTTATCCGGTAAGTCAACCGTTAGCAAAATTGACCTAGTGGGCGAACAACAATCAAATATCTTAAAACTGCAGTCATCATACTGTTTGATCTTCTCGAGTAACTCAAATTGCCTTTCGACGTCAGCAACGCTGCGCAAACTGCTCAAGGTTTCATCCATGAGGTAACACGGGAACTCGAAGGTGTTTATCCACACTTAGCTAAAATTCTCATCGGCAGCTACTCTGACGATGAAATCTTTGTTAAGTTGACGTACTATTCAATCGACGGACACAACACGGGGTAATCGCCAACCCCAATAAATGTGAACTTAGCCAAAACACCATTCAAATTTAGCGAGAGCCAAAATCGAGATTCCAAAAGGCAGATGGAGTTGCAGGGAAACGTTTATTTTGTATGGTAAAAGGTTCCCTGTTTGTCTAGCTATAAAAAACGACACCGTTGACACTGCTAGCTAGGGGAAGGAAAAGTGCAGCACATAGGAGCAATCGCACGTTGCAACCGAAACGAGCGCCAATCAAAGGCGGTGCTCGACCCAAGCAATCGAACTCAACAATCAGTTCAGCAATCCGCACCGGTCACTTTAGTGTACAACGAATTATTAATTTTCGTCAGCATTTTACACAGGCAAACCAAGTAAATCTCCAGGCTACAATAGACTGCAACTCTATTTGGAAACTGAGTGCAAGTGATATCTGGTAGGGCATGAAAAAGTAAACACCGGAATCATAACGCGATGATCATCGCGTGGATTGCAACGTTACATCGACTGCGTGCACATACTACGTGGTCGACGATCTGGTTAAGTGTAGGACCTGAGTACTTGTGTCCCACTTTCACTAGCTACTTGGCAACGGCGGCTGCTGGCAAGGGGCTACCGATCGTTAGTGAGGGTGAATTCAAACAGAACGAAGGCGAAGTTAATCTCGGCTAAAAGAAAAGAGTTCCCACACACCAACGCATTGCAGTCCTTTTATTTGGACAATAACTGGTTCGATTGAGGGCAAGGTAACTGGGCGCATTGAGTGAGGTGCACAAAGTCACGTGCTTCCCCTGCATTCAGCAGTACAAAAATCGATATCACCGCAAAATAAAATAAACGCAATAACCAGTTAGTAAAGATAAATACCGTATAGATCACCAAAGCAACGTACACGTGACAGTTGTCAGTGTGCGGTCAACTAAAACTTGGAGTATTCGATGATTGGCATAGTGAGTCTTGGTTTCCGTGATCATTATCGTGATCTTCGTCATCGTTATTTTAATGTCAACGGATGAGACAGCATTACGACTCCGAACTAACTCAGTTGGCCGGAGTGTGGAGATTTACTAAGAGGATGGCGTATTCAAGAGACAGAAAGATTCATGGAATCACTATACTTACCTACAGATCTGAGAGCATTTCGCAGTTCAAATGAGTTCATATTCCCACTCTTGTCGACATCGAATTTCTTGAAGGCAGTCTGGATATATAAACAATCGTGTAAAAGTAACGTATGAGATACTACAGGTACTGACAGGTGGAAGGACGGTTTGTTCATTAACAGGGTGATTCGATCGAAAGCGTTTCGTCGGTACAACAAAAAGGGGCTGGTTGCGAATACAGATAACTTCAGTGGCTCTGCAACAGTTTGAACCAAATGGGATTTGGCGGAACGATTAAAATATTTGGATTATCCTGTGCCTACAAGCTTTGATAACCTTCCAAGTGAGCCAGCTTAAGCAAGAAACTTGGGAAAAAGCTCTTAGGTAGAAATTCGTCACATCTAGACTCACTCAGACAGTCGTCACACGCCCGGAAAAGCCCTGTACGCGCGTTTCATCCTTTCGGGAATCGTCAGCAGTGCGCATTCCATCACATCTAGAAACTAATTCACTATGGTCGCTGCCGCCCCCCCCCCCGTAGCTAAGTTGTCTCAACCACGGACTCGCAACAGTCGAGTTGCGGGTTCGAGCCCTACCAGGGACCGATGGAATGCGCACTACTGACGATTCCCGAAAGGATGAAACGCGTGCGCAGTGCTTTTCTGGGCGTGTGACGGCCGTCTGAGTGAGTTTAGATGTGAGGAATTTCTACCCATACCATTCAACTCTCTCTATTACCCTTCTGTAAAAGCTTTTAGTACGTTCACTAGAGAAGGTAATTCGGACGAACTAGAACAAACAGCTATTGGGTCACTGTGGGAGAAATTCTCACATAATATTTATTGTGCAGATGTATTCCGAAGCCAGCTAGGTTACTTTGTGGCACAAACCACCCAGCTCTATTAGGCTTATGGGCCTGCTCACTTCTGGCACCGCACACGAGGGCGACTTCGCTTTTTCCGGATAGATCCGTAGTCGGAGTAGAATCACAAAGAGCTCCAACATGAAGTCAGTCGTGCCCTGTAGCCCTGGGAACCGATAACACATACACGCTTCACCCACCTCGGTATTCTTCCCTTTATCATACTGAACACGTATTTCGCTCAACAGAATTAATGGAGCTGCCCAAGTGGAAACTGGAAAATGACTCTGCGAGGTTGTAGCTCCATAAAAACAGTAACACCAGATCCATTCGATCCTAAATTGTTTTATCAGAGGTAAGTTATCAGCATCCACTTGACCAGTGCGACCGTCCGCGCTGTACTGTTGTAGGTTTGCGGGACTTGGCGCGCTCTTACCGATGATCGGTGCCGACTGTCTGTCTTCGAGAAGCGTTGATTGCGGTCCCATCGCCCAGGCGTGTTGGCTGTACCATGTAACCAATGTGTTTTGGGTGAAGGTGCCTATTCCCTCGAGGCGCTTGTCTCGTTGCGCCAACTACGATGGCTCGGACACGTATTGTGTATGCCCGTTCAGCGTCTTCCGCGTCTTGCCTTGTTCACGGTCGCTGGGCAGCGCTGGAAACTGTGTAGTTGACAGCCTACAACTTGGAGAAGCAGGATGAAACAGCTGACAAAACAGCTGGCTTCGGTTGGTTCTTCTCGAGTCCCTGGATGGGGTCCCAAATATGTTGAATGCAGCTGGTTGGAAACTTTGGAAGTCATGGCTCAAAACCAAACTCAGTGGCGGTCGTGAATCTCTGCTTGTTGCGGTGATTCCCCTTCCCTACCCCAATAAAAAATATCCAAAAATCTCAAAAACTGTGAGTGGGAAAATGGATAAAAATTGTTTGCTTTTCTTTATCCTTTTACACTAACCCTGTTTTCCTATTACGCCCTGGTTCAAATGGCACAATAGTTGTACATAGATTGTGACATATATATATATATATATATATATATATATATATATATAGAAAGCAAGCACTTATAATGTGACCATTTCAGTCATCGTATTGCTACTCACGCCAACAGACTGACACAACCAAGATCCAACAGATGAGCCAACACAAAGTGGTAAAGGGACAGTGAGACATGCTAAGACACAGTGGATGGGTTCATCTTTCAAGTAGTCGGCTCGACAATAGGGTGATTAAGTCGTAACAACAGTTAAAGAATCCCGCTACGCTATCATTGAGAAGAAATGCGATTCCAAGCTAATGGCAAATGCTGGGCACGCTTTTGTCCTCAGTGTGCATCTGCCAAATTAAATCTGGAGCCTGATAAATCGTAGAAAGCGTGCAATATTAGAACGATAGAATAGGACATTTCTTCAATGGGATTTTGTAGCTTGATCTCCGTGGAAGAACAGCAAAAACTCAAGAAGTTGATAGATATAGTAATGTGTAAGGAATTATTTGAACGGATCGGGTTTGTTTTCGAGGGCGACGACTGCCACGAATTAAATTAAAACACGCCAAAGAAATTGTGAGAAACTCTGGAGATCCGGGTGTGAAATGGATAAACAACGACAGAACATCACGCAAAGCACAAAAGATATCCTCATGCAAATTATTACATGCGATTACTAGTAGGTTACTGACGGAAAAGGGAATAGATCTGCAAATTTCTTACGGAATTAACGAATGTATTGATTTGTCTGCCTAGAGTGGATGCATTGCCAAAACCATTCCTGTTAAAAACGTTCCCCAGACAGATTCGTTTTGTGATGGTTAGGGTGTTAGCAGTTACGATCGTATTCAAAAACAAAGGTCACACACGTAACCACCAAAGAGGAGAAGTTACTTCAAGCTCCCATTCGTAGGAGTGGAACGTGTGCTAATGCTATCATATTGTCTTACCAGGAAAGAAGAATCGTGCTGGTGCGCAGAGTGCACGGTACGATGAAAAACTAGACAGGCTTTCAGCGAATTAACTACCGATTTAGAATAAACCCGATGCGTATTCGATTTCCTTCCTGGAAAGGAATAGGAAATGTTTGGCTGTGTACAAACCGGTAAATAGCTCAACTATGATCCAGTATGCTACGTACCCGTCCGGTAACTTTCAGCAATAAAACCAGCTTCGAAACAGTCGTAACAGCATCTATGCTTCCGTAACTCATCGTAATACCATTGGGCAGCTCAGCAGAAACAATAGTTAGGGTAGACTGCATTGTAGTTCCAGAGATTGTTTCCCTAGCTACACGGAAATCGATGGAAACAAAGGAACAGATTAAGCGCCGCACATACAATCTTGAGAGGCAATGGAACTGAGCGTAATGTTGCAAGGTGTCACAGATGATGCGTGTGCATTCTATGGGAAAAGTTTCGCGCTGATGATGCATATTGCCCCGAGAACTCACCCCACGTTGTTCGGTCTTAGGAGGGAACAAGTCGAACGCAGACCGCTTGGATTCCCTTCCAGATATCACCGAACTGCACCGACCCAAACCAAAATGTACGAGGGAAGTTCCAGGTATAGTTATCGAGGCAATTAGATCTAAATGTGTAACTGTCGATGGAAGGACGGCGACTTGTTTATGAAGTGTGGGACTTAGCATCCCACAGATTTTAATGAGTTGCACGGTAGACAGAGATCATCATCACGCACGTTGGCTCTAGTTGAGAAGAACCGTGGATGTTGTGGCATTTCGGTGGATGGAAATGGGTCCACCTCATTTAATGAACGCCTTTTATTGTTCGGGTAAATAGTAGTGAAATATATTTAAGCTATATGTGGCGTAAGTTTACATAATATGCCAATGACATCACAATAATTGAAGCCGTGAACTGCGTGTTGTTTGTTGTCCGGAGCCGAGAGAAATCCCACTTCCGTTTCTCATAGCTTCAGAATTCGGACGAAAAGCTGCTTATTCACACATACTTTGTCGTATTAGTGATGGGTTATCCAATTAGGGAGTGACATGTGGTCAAGGTTTAAGGTAAAATCATAAAAGACGAACGCTCTATGCGAACGATCTATGATTTGGACAACACAATGAGAGGCAGAGATATCGAGACAGTTCATTGGTAACCCTAGTAGTCCACAACTATATAGGGTTACATTTGTTTGGGTTAAATTGCAGAGAATCAACTGCACAGCATTTGTATACCATATACCATATAAAATTTATGGCCTCGCTAACAGTTTGTGGATAGCCTGGGAGCCTTGATCATAACCAAAAGACAACTAAATGAAGTATACATCTAGCTACGCATGTCTTCGCTACTGGAGTCTATAGGTTTTCCTCTTCAACACCGGACAGCCCTTAAATAGACTCGCATTGAAGTACTAGTTTATCACTAAAAGCCACACATTTAAACTGTTCTGCTAAATAATCAAACTGGAGCTCCATCATTTGGATCAATTACCATTCTGCCTCAAATTCGGCCTCAAAGACAATAGTGTTTAACCTTGTAGCATGACCTGATCTAAGTCCATACATGGTGGAAGCCCCCAGGTATCTTACAATCATGCGACGTCAATAGGATTTCGAGCCCCGTAAAATCTTAAGAATGTCTCCCATTGGAGGAAAGCCACAATCACCTTGTAGGTCTAAGATTTGTGGCTTCCTGTTTGAATCTTGTATACAAACCAGAAAACTCTGATGAGATAATAAACCGTTTACGCGTTTAATCAGATAAGTAAGGGAGTACTGAATTTCAGTTGAGTGAGAAAATGCCAGCTGATTGGGAGTGACGATGATGAATTAGCAGCATTATACAAAAATTCTCACTACTACTCATCAGTACTGTAAAACAGGTCCGTATAGCTTCTAACTCCTATGTGGTACATAGGCGCCATGCGGAAAGTCCTAGCTCGTGAGGCCAGCCATTTTACTCTGCACATTGTGGTCTGTCAACTGACGGTGAAGAGAGTGGGTTCAGAGTAGGTGATCAAATTTCACTTTACTTCATCAGACAGACGTACTCACCTTCCAAAGTCGAAGTGAATTCCACAGGTTCTTGAACTCTTCGAAATTGAGCATACCCGATCGGTCAAACTTTCAGCAGCAGCAGCAGCAGCAAGCACTAAGTTAAGTTGTTAGCAAATGAATAATATCCGCTACATTAACCGCCGTAGCACTCAGTGTAGTGAAGATAAGCACTAATGTTCGACAATTTAACGACTACCAGTTTGAAACTATATGCGATAATCACAAATAACCTAGTTAGAAGAAAGTGGCAACAATATAAAAAAATCCTCAAGCAAAAAACCTAGTGAGATAAAAGGAAGGATTATAAAAAGCATAAGGAATATAACGCATAAGTAGTTTGTAGGTCAATAATGTTACCAGTTCACAATGCGTCAACCAATACTGAGTTATTAACACTTTACCATCCGGTCAATACGATTAATTGGACGACGGCCAGGAACAAATGCAGGAGGATGGAGTCTAGAAAACCTTAAAGGTAGACTGCACCCGTAGGCTGAAACCGGCGTCCACCAGTAAATAAGCAGTGATAGACTGATATGCATCCAGGAGGTGATCCCAAGGCTTTTACCACTCGCATCCTTAATTAACAAGGCACTAAAGTTAATTATACGGCAAATCAAAATGAGTGAACGGCTAGCGCTACTAGACGGTGGTCGTGGAATTTTCGACGAAGGCTATGGTACGCTAAGATACCGAGCGCGTTTTGGTTTCAAAGATGGAGAATCTCATTGGTCTCAGTAGTGTATGATATACAACCCATACTGCATCTTTGGTCAAGCGTAATAAAAAACTGGCGCTAACTGGAGAAGATTTAATTCTGCACAGAACGTGTTCAAATTGAGGTCACCTACTATTCGAATAAGATATGCCATTCACCAGCAACAACGTGAATTAATGGTGGCAAGCGGGTACCGATGGTCAGTTATGCTAAGAAGTCCAAGGTCGTTTAAAAGGACCAGTTCTCGCAGCCATTAAAGGATGAAGAGGGTTACCGTGGTTTCATGTGTGGCAAATCGGAATACCCGAGGCGTCATGCTGGTACCGTACGTGCCGGTCTGGGCGGTAACTTTTGTGCCGTAATTAGTGAACCACACTTTCAGTATTTCATAGAGAATCAGCGGTACGATATCATATCACGACACTAACTACCTAGATTATTGAAGTGAACTCAGGTTCACATTACCAACGTTTTGCCGAAGTAGACGGATGGATGGCCTAAGAACAACATAACAAGGGTTTTCAAGGGAGTAAGCACAACGAACAGCTGGGCGAAACGCGATTACGCCGCCTCTCGAGAAACCAACAACAGGATGTCGTAATTAGTGTGACATTAGTCAGCACAACCCATTCAAACATAGATTCACATCTGGATACGTAACGAACTGCAGCACATGGAAATAGACAATAAGCTTCAGTTAGGAGCGTCCGATGTAATATTCAAGCTATCCCGTAAGACTGTGTCAACCACCTTGCCATTTTATATCTGTCTACTTGTATACCGTCTCACAATGACCAATGGTGAATAACTGAGGTTAACAAACCCACCAACTTGGGGGCTGTGTATGGAATAGCTCCCATCAACGATGTTATTGCCCTGATCTGGGGAGCCCCCATGTGCAGGACTGGAACAAGTGCAACAACGGTCATCATGTGGTTACACAAAGCTCAAATGTGCGGGAATGGGCAACGGCTTATGATTAGGTAGACGATGCAGTCACTCGACCAGTGCCCGAGGAGCTCAAGCATCTACTCACCAAATCGAGCATACTTATGCGTAGGCGATCTCGCGGTGTACCCAATCCATATGCGACTACTGTTGATCACGTGGCATGGAAGCACCGACACGAGATACCGGCGTATCGCTGACATGCCTGAGACCCGGAGCGGTTCTACTCAAAGGAGTATCAACGGTAAACGGTTTAGAGACTTTTGTATTCCTTATTGTGGTATGGTCTGAAGAGTGGCGTTTAGCCGAATAGAACGAAACAAGTGGCAAACCATCGCCTCATGTGCATACGTTGGGGGTCATAGTTAGAGGTTACTAGTCACAACTACGGTACCCTTGCGTCGACATGTGAGGAGTTGCAACCCTGGTGCAACGAACGGGCAGGGTTTTGCTACCGAGAATTTCGCAAAGCAAAGAAACTAGCCTGAGTGAGGTGATCGATAGACCTATGTACTACGTACAAACAAATCAAGTTTAAGTAGACGGCAAGGAATAGTCCAGATTATTCGAACAATGAAGCCCAGAGCTTCCTCCGTGGAGTGTTTTACCGTACAGTGTAGTCAACTGGTTTCGCTGGCCTGCTGAAGCGTGGAATCGGTCTACCGCAGACACTCTCATTTATAACTCCAGTGCTACCCCAACGGCCTGGCTATACCAAACACATTCGCTGAGAATGATGAAACAGCTTCGACGGAGGTTGGTCATAGCCACACTCAGACATTCATCACACGCCCGGAAAAGCACGCGACGGCCGTTTCATCCTCCTTATGGTCGTCAGCAGTGTGTGTTCCATTTGTCGAATGTGAAGTTGTCAGCGAGCTCTAAGCTCGAGTGCGGGATAGGCAGCAGGTGTATCTTGGTAGTTGTGAACTCGCCCAAAGAGACCAGTGCCCAACGCACACAACTAAGTTGACTTTGGTTCTGGAACGATGAGGAATACAAGTGAGGTAGAAGGAGTTGAAGAGAGACATAGATTAGGAATGCAGTAGAAGACGGAACGAGGATACATCCATCATGGAAATCATGCTACGGCATGATTCCAAACTGAATCCATCGAATTTGAAGTCTGTAAACCAAAAGAAATGATTGGCAGAAGTGAGATTGTTGTAATTCTACTCAAGGCACGATTGTGTGTAAGCAGAGCGCGGCTGCAATCATGCAGTAGTCCATGCAAGGACACAAAGCATTCAAATAGCAATAATTGGCGGTGATAAAAGACGGCCATAGAGGCCCGATTAGTGAGGATTTGACAGCTAAATTAACAGCTTGAAGAACATGTTCACTATTTGGTATGCGATATCCAAATGTGCGCGGGAATCGCTGTTAATGCAAATCATTTTCAACCGTTTTGATTGCCTTTGGTTATGTACCAGCATAAACATTGCAATTACTTGATGCGCCAATCGAGGGCAAGGTGCGTTTAACGATACACAGCGGTTGGATGATAAAGATGCTAGTATTGTCTTTTATCAAAACAGAAACATCGTTTAAATCCATGAGGAATAGAGTGTGAGCTAATGGAGTACTCTCCGGAAGTAACATTGTGTTACTGGTTAAATAAACTGGATGCACAGTATGCTTAGACCATTCCAGGTGCGTCTATTCCTACAAGTATCAGAATGGTCGGATATTTGTCTCTACACCTGCACATGTGCCAATGAACAAGAGTGTGCGATGCACCATCTTGTGTCCGTGGCACACACGTGTGGTGGGGGTGGAAACAGAAAACGACGGCCCGTAATACTCCATCATCAGTTGCTGGATGGATCGGAAGAATGCTGTCCCTGTATGGCAGTGGTTCGCAACCTCCTTGTTATCCACAAAGCGGGTTCACTGTAAACAATAATCATCCCCAAATATAAGGTTAAAAAGTTACCTACCTATTGCATATTTTGACTTACGTAAAATAAACACTATTTTTGTTTACTTTCGAGCATTTAAATAAAGAAAACACCTATTTTTGAGCAATTTTTTAACTTAAATCTAGCAGTGATGTAAGTTAACGAGACAGTTGATATTTTTTAGTTTTTAACAAGTTCTGATCAGTAGCGTCAATCCTATTCAGCTGTTTAAGTTAGCTACATCATACGACCTACGCCGGCATCGCTTGAAGCTCAAACAACATAGGGCTTGTTTGGACATCAGGACAAAAGTTTTTATAAACCGAGCAGTTAACATCTGGAATAAATTTCCTTCTGACTTAGTGGAATGTGAGACTGCAGAAGCCTTCAACATGGGCTCAAATATGTGTTGGTTTAACATTTTTCCAGAGATATTGTAATCATACTAGTATATGTATTGTATTTTGCTGCTGACACATGAAAGTGCAAAGATTGCTCTTGTTTTGCTTCCTATTTTTGTCGAACCAAGAAGATTCGATCCGTGGTCGAAGCGCCGGGGGCTGTCTTTCAATTACCGACACAGGAACATGGACGCTCGTTAGTCGAAGTCGTTATCGTCCGTGGTACTTGATCTAAGCTGATGTATATTTGCTGCAGGTTCGGCTAATTCATATCAAAAGTCGTGCTCCAAGTTCATTCGTTTTCTTGCTTTGGTGTGTGTGATCCCTGAACAAACATGGACAGATATCAGTGGTTTCACATTTAGTTCAAGTGACGTTTCCAACTCTTTCCTGGATGACGGCTTTCCACCACCAATCTATATTAATACGTCCTGAACACTAATTGCCTGTTATATCCTTCTATATTGTGAACACGCGGTTGCTCCTTTACTTTGTCGGCTGGCCAGTTTTCACTCAACTCTGTATTTCGACCTTGGAAACGATTACCTCATTCAAAAGAACAACGATCGACGATTGGGCCGATAGAGGCGCTATCTAGCTGCTCTGCTTTGTAAGCTTGTGTTCATATCTTAGGTACTAACATTTATTGCCGAAAATTGTCTAATCCACCGAGTACTCATGAGTGAATACTCACTTGTAGCTAGTTACATGTTTTGATACATATGGTATGTTATTAATTTTGATTGGCGACACACTGATCACCCAATTCTCGTAAAATCCTCGTAAAATGTCATTTTGCCCCCTTAGCGGTAATTACTCCCAGGTTGAGAAGCACTGCTCTATGGTGTAGAACAGGCACGGCGTACTCCTTCCTTGCTGTTGGCCTTAACGCGCTGTATTAAGATACGACCAGTTAACACGTATGTATGGGTGGTTACATCGTCGCTGTCAATTTAAACAATGCAGCTAATTCAGTCTTGATCATACGGCTAATCTGTCACCATCACCACTGCCTGGTGGGAAGAACCAGCCATGTCGGCTTCGTTCTGCTCAGCACAGCCAAAGGCACTGTATGAATGAATAATTGAAGTTACTGCCCAAGTAGACTCATTTAATGGTGGATAATGATTACCTGACTTCCGACCTTGAATCATGTGACTGCAGAAACAGTGGCTGTGGTGGCAAGAGAACCTTGTCAACAGGGTGCAACTCGGCCGAATAAGTAACTCCCTCTACCAATAATTTCTAGTGTACGGTCGTAAGCAACAGTCGATTGTTCAAGTAGTTAAGCAAAGCCAGGTGGTCGAGGACCGAAAAATTAACTTATAAATTACAGTATTCGCGTGCGTGGAGGCGATACACTATGAAGATGGCCTAAATGCGTTGCTTCGTGTCTTTCGAACGGCCGTTTGTTAAATCGGCATCCATGGTGTGCTCATTCCGCTGCTATGTCCATATTGTGATGTTGCGCACGACCCCTAATGCAAGTTGAAAAGTAAAGCAGTTTCAGTTGTAAACAATTGAAGCACGTTGAAGAGCAAAACAAGGAGGACACCAAACTGCGAATTGAATATCATCCCTTAGAACGGAGGTAGCGGTCACAGTGTTCCCGGAATCGCTTGAACCAGTCAAGAAATAAACAAGCCCTGTTAAACAAGCTATAGATGTGCTGTTAATAATACATGACTTGGAGGTGAGGTACATTGATTGGTTGCACGTTAGCATGCTTTTCCTAATCGGACAGATAAGCAAATCAAGACTCGCAACAAGCGGCACACAAGCCAGTAGTTTGTCAATTGGAATGCAGTAAGGTATGAACACATGCAATTTATGGCTGGGTTAAAAAGGGATAAGGTTGACGTCTTACACTGAGCATCAGGACCTGGCAAACCAACCGAAGATAACACAAACAACTGATAAACAAAATTCATTGGATATGTAAAATACAGTGAACTTCCAATGGGTGACTAGTATGGTTAATTTGCACCTAGTTAAAATTACTGAGAACTTAGACCCGAATCAGGGCTGACAACTGCACTTACTACATCCGGGTGTTAGACGAGCTAATAGTCGTCTCCACCCTTCCTGATTCCACTCAGTGGATGTACTACAGGTGACTTTTGTATGCGTCGTCTGCCTCACTTCCGTGATAATACGGTCATTCATCTCTATATTTCATGCGAAACTAAAGCACATTATTACAAAGAAAAATGTGCATTGACAATCAACTTAGAAAGGAATGTTGTGAAGCAGTAATAATTTCGTACGTGGCATTAGATTTTAAGCATACATGCACACGTCGACATCCGCTACCACACATCTATCAATATTCAACTCTTAGTACAGAGCTAGGGAAGTTCGCACAATTCTAGCTAGGGGAAAAGTTGAAGTTAAGAATTAAAAACTTTCGGTTACCTCATGTGTTTTGATAGTATCCGTTTAAGCCGCGCTTAACCCGACAAAGTACCTTCCGGCACGCACATTGACAATAATATGTGGAACCTAGTGTGACAGCCACCGATAGCGAATATAGTGTAGTTTTTTTACAATTAGAGATCTGAAGAGGTTTACATACTTGATCAGGTTAAGTAAGCGGACACACAGGTCTCCAGTTCATGTGAATGGACAAGCAAAACATAATCTCCATTACTGGTGCTCGGCCTATTCGTCTCCATCCCACCGGAAAGATAATCACGGTGGAGTGAACACTTCCGCTTTGGTAGCTTAATAGTTGTGTTCTTAAGCAGATACATCTTTCCTTGAATTGTAGTGTCCGTAAACCACAAGTGAACCCAACACTGGTGATTACGGCATAGAACGTACGAATCGTTAACACTGATAGGCTCGTCATTTGATCGAACCGTGTTTGCGGACAACGCTGAGATCACGGTGTTACGTGTGGTTTAAACAAACAGCTGCACATGACCAATGTAAACACTTGCATAGACGAACAACGCCGGTTGAACAATCCGCTCAATAGACAGTTACGGCCGAACACAAGAACACGTACCTCGCGTGAATGCCACATTCAGGATATCGCGAAGTTCCTCACAATCTATTTCACCATCTTGGCCGGCCACTTTGACAAAGGCACGCCTTAGGGCATCAACTTGTGCATCGTTCAAATTGGTCGTTACAACCTGAAATGACAGAGGGGATGCAACTAAGGTGGTAGCTTAATTCCTCTCAATTAGACCTCATACATGGGAGAAGGGGGTTAGTGAATTCACTCGGACAGAGATGAGAGAACGATTTTGCATAGCACATGCTGTGTTTGGACCGCTTAGTCAAACTGCGCACCAAGGGATGTTAAGGTGGGGAAAACAGAAAGGATATGTCCCATTCCGTTACTGAGAAGATAAGTGGATGGTGCCCAAGCGAACAAAGAGCAGTTGAAGCCAAAAGGCGGAGTCAGAGTATGGAGGAGGAATGTCGCAAATGTCCGAAGTGTAACAGTAATGTGTGCTGACGGAAAGAAATTTGGTTGTCTAGTATGAATGTTCAAGCTTGAATTGCTGCAAAACTGTAATAAACAACAATGGGATAGCTTCACGCCATTGTCTCTTAGTTGTTTGTCTCCGGAATACATGATTATCGCTCATAACCTTATGCTGCATATGAGCCACCGTTCTTTCTACCTGCGCACGCTCGGATGTGCTGTGGGCCATAATGGTTATTAGCGTATTTTAACTACACTGTTTTTCCATTGTTATGCACTGATGGAATTACGCACCATTTGTGAGGCGCGGCCGGAATGATTGGTTCCTGGATGACGCGACTAAGCAAGGAGAAGGACACACGGAATGCTCTTAATGATTCCAAACAAGAAAACCAGAAGACACAAGCTGTGGCTCCGTCATTTCGTGCAAGTTTATCAATCGCAGCCCATAGGTCTTCTGGGCGGAGGAGTCTGAGATGAGTAACATCGCTGATTGGAGATTCATGAGGACATGGCACGTAATCGCAGGCAATGGAAGGCATGCGTGAGTAGTTACATTGTTTCTAATGATCAACATCGTAATCTCTAAACTGACAAGACGACAAAACGGTGTGTGAAAAATACACAAAAACTCTGTTTCATATTTTCCTTCTTCTCAACCTTTGGGTTTATTATGCATATATCCCATGGTTTCTGGATGGCTCGGTGTCTATTATATAGACTGCATATATATATATATATATATATATATATATATATATATATATATATATATATATTTGTTGGCAGCATCCGGTTCCGGAGATGCTTGTCACTGCGGCCTCCATAGGACAGCCAAAAGGACGCTTGCGCATACAGAGGGAGCTAGGGTGGCTTGCGCTGCACCACCCACAGTTCCATCCACACACCCCATATCCAGTGTAAACCCGAAGGAATAAGACCGGGAGCCATGTGGATGGGAGCCACATTTCATCAACGGAGCCGGCCCACACTCCTCCAAGATGCACAGTAGCAGCATTCCCGTCTAGCTATGTTGGGAATCATGCGTGCCAGACGAACACAAGCCGGTGGCTTGGTATTAGTCTGCGTCACATTGGATGGAACCACACTTTGAGCGTAGCACGGCCACGAGGATGGTGCACCCCATCCCCCCAGCAACGATTCAGTCTCCTGGAACCAGTAATCGAAGTGAAGAGTGTTAGAATGGTAGGCACCTTGTCAAGATTCGCTTCAAGCACAGCCACATCGGGGATATGAAACAGTCAACGTAGAATTTAAGGGAAGGCAAACACGCAAATTTGACAGAGAATATGCAGCAGAGTAACCGAATTGGACAAACGAAAGGAAGAGGAATGAATTTTATCCAGACTAAAAAGATCTAGATTATGTGTAATTTGGTTTAGCCCAACTACATTGAAGAAGCATAGTGAATGTAACATCAACCTCAGTATGAGGCGGTTACGTCTATTCTATTTATCTTTACCCAGCAAGGTATTCGTAGATGCAGCTACATTCTTAACTACGTCCAGGTAAATCTAATTTGCTACCCGCATGGCTGCGGACCATATAAATGAAGCTGCTTTGGACGTCATACCTGACCCTACCTTGATCGACCCCGAATTGCTGGTTCAGGGGTCTAGTACAGTAAAGCGAAAGAGCTATCGGCTAAATAAGTAGCTGTAGTTGTCCCGGAACCAGAAACAAGCCACTGGTCAAACCGTCTGACGGTTGTGCGAAGGCGAAAATGCCCACACGTACTACTTTTCAACCGAAGGTGCTGGTTATCTCGGCTCTCACTGATAAGGTGCGTTCTGACGTTCTGCCAGAATCTGCGCAAAACTATGAAGCCTCACGAGCCCCTGTAATTGTTATTAAGAAAAGCAGAGCAAATCTGCATTTAAGGCTTCGGGTGGACTTGAAGACCCGAAAAAAATAAGACGCCAACAATGGAGCGAAATACATATGCTGTCATTGCTACATCATTTGAGGGCATAAGGACAGTCCCATCACCTGCTCCAAGTGTCGAATCAAAGATCCGTGGGGTAAATACACCCCTTCGTGCTGATTCTTCCATGGATAGTAGCATTAGATGCCGTAACGCGGTTGAATCCACTGTCGTCCATCCTGCTGAATGCTTGTTGGACGACCTTCAGTGGTTTAAATTGTGCGTAACGAAGCTTCTTCCGCCTGGTTTTCCAAGCGTTACTGTCAGGTAGTTGATTAGACTGGGGAACGTCTCAGTTAATGTATCAAACCCTCGACCGCGGCTAATTCGTGTAGCTCCCTCTACCTCGGAGGAATGCAACGTTCACATGCGGTTTGTTTTTAAGCAGAAAGGTACTGTTATTAGTGTTCAGCCGGACCTTGTGCTGGCAGATAGGCTGAAGCTGAAGGATGTCATCAAGTACCTCAAAAGCAGGCGAGTTGCCGGTGGACAAGGTCTCCGGTTAGTGAGTTTTCGGGTGGTCAGCCGGCTGTCCATTTCCGCCCTACCTGTGCCCGTTCTGGCAACGCACAACCCAGGTCATGACATTACGAATACCTACAGTGAGTGCTAGGCAATGTGTGCAGCCTAAGGAATAAGGTATATTAATTAGGTCTGCTTGTAGAAGAGTATCATCCTGACATACTCGCATTCACTGAAATGTGGCTGTCTCAGGACCTCACGGATGAAGTACATCTATCTGGCTACGCACTATTTAGGTGCGACCGCTCCGTTGGCCGACAGGGATGTGTCGCACTTTATGTGAGTTGTAAACTTGCACAACACGGATTCTGGAGGTGACTTTTGTGTCTGACGAATCTATTGGTACCTCGCGAAAGTCGGGCGGATGCAGTGGATAACGGCCACGTACTGGACGTGCTTTTCGTAGAATTTTTGAAGGCATTTAAAACGGTATCCCAGTTGAGGCTTGAGCAAAAGCTGAGTTCCTAGAGTAAATCTGGTCGCGACCTTCACTGTGTGACTGACTGTTTGGATGGTAGCGAACAGTGTGGACGAGTAGGCCGCGGTCTATCGTTTAGGCAAATTGTCGACAGCGATGTACCGCAGGGCTCGGTTCTTGGTCCGCTGCTGTACTCTATGTGAATGACCTACCCGCGGAGCTTGAGGTACCATCGCTGCTATTTGCTGATAACCTGGTCGTGGAATATTGTCAATGTTCCTGGGGGTGTCGAAACTGTTCAACGAGCCTTGGATAGGCTTTGGGACTGGTATAGTCAATGGTTACTGCCCATAAATCAGGCAAAGTGCTCCGTTCTTCGAATTGGAGGAGGTTGTCCTACTACGAAGTACTTGGTCAGTGGGGTGGAACTCGCCGGTGTATCTAGCCAGGTGGATCTTGGCGTCGTACACACTCCCATTTTACACTCCGGCGATAACAGAAAAAAGGCCGCAAGCAGAGGCTTCCGTATGTTGTGGTTAATACGACCTTCTTTCGGAATCTTGACGGGCGGCATCTTTGTGAGACTGTTCTCGGCTTTCGTACAGTCTCATCTAGAATACTGCGCCCAGGCTTATCCGTCCTGCCTCGTCCGGGACAAAATGGAGCTAAAGTGGGTTTTATGGGTGGGTACTAGGTTGCTTGAGGGATTAGGGGGACACACGTGCCGCGAGCGTCCCCAACTTAGGGAGTACATCCAAGGCATTACCGAAGGCCTACTGTATCTTAACGGGAATGGTTGGTCCAGATTTATCTCGGCTATTCCGTGCCGCTAGACTGTTCTGTTCTCCGCGGTCATTTCCTGAAGCTGGAAAACCGCGGTCCGAACGGATTAGGGCGGGAATTCGGCTGTCACGTCGAGTCATCGAGCGCTGGAACTTGATTCCAGAAATTTTTATCCAGGAAGCCACGGTTAAGGAGTGGCAACACGAAACCTTTCCCTTTTCCTGACTAACTCTCATTTTCGTACTCCGAATTTATTTCCTCTACTTGCCTTCATACATTGGTATTATCCTCTTATTTCAGTTGAACTTTCTTGTTCTGCACCTTTGATTCCGCTTCCTATCTTTTACTTACTTCTCCTGACTGCCACAGCAGGGACCGCTAGGGCAGGAAACGTGGGCATTAATTGGTTGGCCAGGGTGCGATACGGGTTTTTGGTGGTAGACACATCAAGAACTCCAGGCACTTCATCAATTCCTGGTTCAACGATCCACCCAAGAAAGAACACTCACGGGATACTGTTATCGTTCCAGTCCCACCTGAACTCGAACTCGAACCTTGTTAACCCTATCCTACTTCAAGTATGGACACTCGACTGTGTGAGCATAAGATCAAATGGCGTCCATTTCATAACTTAGCAAGTGATAAAGCAATAGGTCCCCATTACCCGAATGGGTAGAAATTCCGTGAAATTGTGATTTTGGGAAGTAGTGACGACAGATGCTGCACCAGAGTGCATACAAATTTGTGAGGACCCAGAAAAAGGTTAAGTTGCGCGTGGCAGGCAAAGGAGACTGGAACAGCAATGGTGAATGGCACTTAGTTGTTGCCATTTTCAGTAATGTAGACCTTAACAAAAAAGCGAAATAACTTTCGCAGGTTGATCATTGGGACCAGTAACTAGCGTCGCCTCAATGCCATGATTGCTTTCGACTATAGAGGATTCAACTTCTTCTCCGCTTCTAAGGGAGAGGAAGCGCCTGGAATAAGAGGAAATAACTGATCGGTGAACAACAATGTCACCACCGCTCTCATT